AAAACTTTTTGGTCAGTTATTCAAACCGGAAATAAATAATATAAAGAAGAAAAATTTTTTTTTATACGGATTTACAAACACCAATATAATGTAAAAAAGAAAAAAAGGAAATATAAGAAGAATTTTTTTTATATAAGTAAAATAGTATAAATAAAATTCATTTTATAATAAATTTTAAATTCATTCTCACTTACACGCACACATATAATCTTATGTATATATATTGTCGTGGCCCGATTCGATTATCGATTCACAACGTTGATCTTCCTCCGCGTTCGTGGTATTATTCACAATTGAAATCGAACACACTTTTAACGAAAGAAGAATTATATTGATTTTAAGGGAAAAGAAGCGTATTTAAAGGAAATGTCGGAGGAAAAATAAATACTGTGTCTTACATACTTACATATGGTGGAAGGTGAAAAAAAAATGGTGGAGAGAGAGAGTGAGAGAGAGAGAGAGAGGGAGAGAGAGAAAGAGAAAAAATAATCCCCAGCGTAAAATATTTGCCGAATTTTCTGTTTTTTTTTTTTTTTCTCTTCTTATTTTCTAATTTTTAAAAATTCACTCTGTTTTATTTTTTATCCGCCACTTTTTTCTCTTTTCTCTTTTTTTTCCGTATTATTATTATTATTTTTTGTATTTCGTTCGTTTTGAAAAAAAAAAAAAAAATTTGAAATATTTTAAAGCGAATTTCTTTGTTTTTTTTTCCGTTTTATTGATTGTCATGTCAGTTTTTTATTTTTTATTTTTTACGAATCAAAATTTAAAAAAAGAAAAAAACAAAATTAAAAACAAAAAAAAGGAGTCACGTTTAAAATTATATTTATATATGATTCCACCAGCCTGGAGCCTGAAATCGTTGGAATTTTATAGAATTGAAACGGTATATCGCGTTCATTTTAAATTTCCCTCAAACAAAAAAACATTAAAAACTCAAATAAAGGTTTTCTAAAAAAAAAAAATGACAGAGAAAGGCAAAGAGAGTGAGAGAGTGAGAGAGTGAGAACACAAGAAAAATGGCAAAAATGGAAAAATTTTGTTTTGAGTTTTTTTTTTTTTTTTCGTTATCATTTTCCTTTTCGTTTACTAATAAAAAAAAATTTTTTTTTTTTTATTCATTTTTTATTTTTCTCTCTTATTCCTTTTTTTAGGTGCCTCCCCCTCCCTACCTCCCCACCCTCCCTCCCTTCCCCCGTAAAAAAAAGAGCGCTTCTAAAAATAAAAAAAAAACTCCTTATTGTTCTTTGTAATAAAAATCCTTTTATTTAAAAAAAAAATTGTTTTATTTTTTTTTTTTGCTTTTTTTTTTTTTTTTTTTTTTTTA